ATATTTATACGCTATATTAACTACCATGCAGGATAGAACACCGAATTAACGAATTTTTTCGGAATATTCAACACATGATTTTTTTTTATAGATATTACTATTTCGCTCTCTTCATCTCTACTCCTACCGCTTGACCCTTTCTTTCTCTCAGTCAGTCACGCTTTGACGTCCTTTGCAACCGCTGATATAACTACCACCACTAATAGACCCTCCGCCACCCCGATATTTTTAATTCTACCGCCAACAGACATAGAAATATTCAAATACTGCTGTTACTCTTAGTCTCTCACAGTCAAACCTAAAAACAAACCGAAGAAAAATCCACAACTCCAACAGAAATTACTGAAACTTGAAGAAAATATACCGACCATGCTGGAAAGGCAATATTTTAGTAACTCAACATTTTACCTGTAAAGAAAGAGATTAAATACAGGATAAAATACACGCAACGTTTTCTACTTGAATCGAATCGCTCAAACGCATTTAAACAATGACAACACGTGGAAATTTTCGTCAGCAATTCAACATTGAAAACGAAACTTAACTCACTACGTGAGAATTTTTCATCAAACGAAAAGCACATCAACTTTCTTCTAACAAGTATGAAGAAGCAACAACAAAAACATTAATAATTTCACAACCAGAAAACACAGCTCATTTTCCGCAGGATACCGCCCCAAATTCACGAAGAAAATTACGCAGACAAGACAAGATGCCGCTCAAACCCCGAAGTCAACTCTTTTCAGTACACAGCCAAAATGAAACTGTACTCTCAGGCTTAACAGAAATCGTCGTCGTCGTCGACTTATTTTGTATCCAAGATTTTAATTTCTTCATTGCTGATTGCTTCCATGAGGGCGTTGATGACTAAATTCACCGCCAACGTGCAGACTCTGGACAAGAAGCTTCTATTATCACCAAAACCTTCTCCCGTAATCAATTTTCTATCGCCGTTTGGTTGAAGGTGAAAGAAAATCAGAGTAGAAGAAAGTGCCGATGGCGTGAATTTGTTTAAGGTGGACCTGAACTTGCCAAGAAGTGACCCACATACTTGATTTCATGACCTTCCTCTGTAGCAAATATGGAATGAGACATGTACAATCCAGTTATGAAACCGCAATGGACTGCCGTTGAATCAGATATCATTTCAAGTGACGCCTTCTGTAGCATGTCAGTCATGCGTAGCCATCTTCATATACAGGTTCAACCGTTGAGATGTATTACAATCATCATCCGTTTGATCCACTTTTGGGGTCTTTCGGGTTCATTGCGTTTAGTTTGGGTCCTCGTCTTCGGCCTTGCCGCCAAGTGTGGCCCTAACAGAAGTTTAGAACTCCCGATGACAATCGTTCTGAGACATTGAGGCACACAAGCCCCTCTATCACGACAAGGAGCAACCATCAGAGGTTAACAGAAATAGATGTGAAAAAACTCAACAACACACTGGAGCTTCAATTGGTGGGTGGGTAGCTAGAATGTTCGATTTAATAATACCGGAGACAGCATCACCTCTGAAAAATCAACAATCATACTAGATCTCTTCAAACGTTCTTACGAAAACTCCTGCGACACCCTGTATCAATTTTACCAGCATCAGCTTAACAAATTTCCATCCCGAAGCATTCTCCTAGCTGTTTACATTTGCGTCACGAATAAAATCCACAGAAAAACAAAAGCGCCCTTCCCGAGCAAGCCAATAGATATCATGGCCTCTCCTAAAATTCCGATTCCTGCAGCAGCAACAAAAAGTGCTCGCACGGTGCAGATGTGACACTATTAAGAAGGCAATGGTAAAATGGGAAAAAGGTTTAAAAAAAACTGGAAAACAAGAAAAGAAACGCTGTTTTTCGATAGACTAAAAGCATACTGTTAATAAAACAAGAAAAACGCTATTTTTCAATTAGACTGAAAGTATACTGATAACAAGAGAAGGAAAGTGAAAGGAAAGGATATTTGTTTTCTTTTCTCTCCCCCAGTCCGGGGTTGAGATGCTGACAATAGCTAGCGTAGAAGCTGTTTTTGGTCAAATTAATATTAAGTGATAGTACTTTCTTAAGTATTCAATCGACCCCGTATGGAAAAAATAGATTATATTTTAACGACCTCGAATGCCGACGAGGGAACGAGATAAAGCGTCAGTAGGCCACTCATTGAACGACGTGGGTAATGGGAAGGCCAACAGCAAGTATCTTGCCAAAGTTCGGTCAGTTGATAAGACTTGGATTTTAAGATCAACATGTTTCCAAAGGAAAGCAGGAATAGAATTGTAGTTATATTTCTTTTTCGTCTGCCTAAGATGCGATAAAATTTATTAAAACAAAGACCAAAGAGTTGGCGAAGAAAGCGACAGGTGACAAATCTCAGATGCAACTGACCCCTCAAGGACGTGATAAGAATTTCCCGCTGCTGGAAATTTGAGATGATAATTGAATTTAGCAATTTGGGCTAGACCACGCCTAGCCTTTAGGAACAGGTTTCATCAGGAGACAAAGAGAGTAGTAAAGGCCCAGGTAGAATTTCAAGGAAGATCGGGGAATTGCCTGCACCCTTCGGGTGTTAATGGTGAGAGGCATCCACACGAGATGAAAGGAGTTGGGCGAATCGATATCACAACTCTTCGGAGTAGGGATCTCCTAAAATTTGGTCAGGCAATCAATTTCCCAACCACCTCATTCCCCCGGTTTGCGTGAGGGTCCATAAATACAAACGAGTGAGGCGAAAGATGAGAAGGAACTAGACAGCCTGGGGTGCTGTTTGCAAGAGAGACGCGTTGCCATTTGGTTCAAGACACGCTTTGCCAAACCTCGCGCAGCATCTGCAGAAAGAACTTAGTCTCCAGTCTTGTTTCAGACTACCAAATGCAACTGAATGGTCAGCATGAAGAAATCAGATTTCAGCCTTGTACCAGTTTGCCGAGTTTAGCTAAACATAGTGTCATGGAGTATTAAGGTGTTAATTTACTGAGTAGAACGTTCATTCTTTGATATAAAGTTGGGTTACACAGCTGTCTCTTACTTTGTTCCATTTGACGTCATCTTGCCAATACTACCGGATCATCGACGTTGAATATACGACTTGGCCTTCGCCCGCCGTGTGTGATCTGAAACAAACATAACGTGATCAGGGTGGGATAGAGGATCGGGGCAACCAACTCCAAGACTGGCCGTAAGGATCAACCACGGACTTGCCTGGTGACTGAGGGCGAGATTGTGACGTCATACACGACATTTAGAAACATAAATCGGATTTCATAAGAAAATCTTTTTCAATCTGGGGAGGCGCGCGTATTTGATTTGATTACCGCCTCTGACCATTAATCCCAGGTTGTGTGATATTTGAAAGGCTCTTCTTCATTTGCCTTCGACTTTAAGAGCGGCAAAACACGTTTCTTTTCGCTCCGATAGACACGAGGCATCTAAGTACTTCAGAGACACAGACTGAAGATAACTTTGACTTAGTTTCTTTTTTTATTCTTCTGTAACATACTTTGTTAATACATTTATTAATTGTTGTTTGTTTGAATATCATCTTTAGTGTCCCTTTTTTTTTACCTCGACTCACATGTTTACAATAAATATTATTTGCGGCACAAATGTCCCAGGAGACAAAAAGGATAATCTTTTCAATTTTCGCGATAAGTTTTATTAAAATTTTAAAACAATAAAAATTGATAAGTTGTTTAACGTAATAGCATTATCAATAGAAAAACAGTCATTTTGACAAAGCGTTTTTTCATGAATATATTCCCAGTTTAATTTATGATGAGTAGAAAACATCCTATTACAATTGTGCTTTCTTATTTTACACGACCGTTACGCCCTGTCAATCCCTCATAAATAATGAGCTATTCCGTTTTGATCGTGTGGAAAGAGTGGAAAAAACTACTTTGTTTCAGTGAAAAAAAGAAAGAAGGCAACATAAAAGTGTTTAACGTCTCCTGCCAATGCCCTATAAATAATGAACTATTTAGTTTTGATCGCGTGAATAGAGGGGAAAACACTACGTGATTTCAGTGAGTAAACGAATGAAAGAAAGAAGGGAAGATAAAAGTGTTTCGCGGCTGTTTCAGTGAAATGGAAAAAGTTGTCAATTTTAAATCTTTTCATTTGTACCCCCTTACTTCTTAAAATAACGACCAGAATTCATATTTATGATTGTTATTGCAATATTTTGTTAAAGTTGTTAAGATCAAATATTTAATGATGCAATAGGAGAATTTCTACGGATATTTTATTGTCGTACAACTCAAGAGTTTATTCATTCATTAACTTAAGAATTAAGATTCAACAGAATATTAAAATAGGAAAACCGTGGAATTTTCACGGGTTAAACCTAATAATACATAAATACTGATTTTAATGGGATATTCAAGTTATTTTTAAAACCAAAGTTGACATAAAAATAACAACATCCGTGCTTCGTTCATTAAAGTAAAATTAGTTCTTACAAATAGAACATAATGTTTTTCACATGTAAAGATAAAAATTATACAAATATATGAATTTAAGTTTTTCAACCTTCATTTCTGATTTGGTTTCATCGACTTAGTATTTAAGCTTTATTTTTTGTTTCCATGTGTGTGTGTGTGTGTGTGTGTGTGTATGGGTGTGTGTGTGTGCGCTTCATTTATTAAAAGCCCGACACAATTGATGAGAAGTAAGAATTTAAAAAATGTTTTGGGAATAAATATAAGATTTGAATTTAAAAACTTAATATTGTTTTGACACCGTTCTAAAACCCTTAATCCGTCATTTCAAATGAATGGAATGACCTTAATTTCAAAACCTAATTTAACACTTTTCCAAACTTAACTAATTTTATTAAATGCCGGCACCTCAGGCGAGAATCGGTTTATCTGAGTGTTTGTTTATTAACCAATTGCAAGAATTAGAGAGGAAATATTCCACTACGTTGCCCGTATTGCCGCATAGGCTACGACACACTGAGAATTATAAACAAAGAGAAATGTTAACGAAGAGAAAAAGCCTCTTCTTACTTGGATGTCACGCCGTATTACCAGAGATAGCCAAACGGAGTCGTTATCTCTCGAGCCGTAAGAGATAAAGTTCGTTTTTTTTGTATGTCTGGTCAATAAATGTATTTGTAGGCTTTATTTTGCCGCATGTGCCTGGTTGTCGCATGAAACTTTATACGTAAGAGCAAATATATATTGCTTCCCATGACTTCCACCTAAAATCAGTGAAATGCCTGTACCCTCAGTGAAATACACACAATGTAAACAATGTATCTTATTCTGTCCACATCTATCTATCTATGTATCTAAGTCCGATCGTATGTCTGAATGTCTATATCTATATCAGTCTGGTCATTATCTATCTATCTAGCTATCTAGCTATCTATCTCAATCATTCCATATTTATCTATCTACGCGGTCACAAAGACACAGTCACACGATCATATAATCTCAAATGCTTTGGTGAGTGATATAGTCGCAAATTTGCGAAATTTGCCAGTGGCCCGTGTTACAGACCAAGTAAAAGTCAGGACGTCGAATGCTTCCGTTTAAAATAGGTAGACCTTTCCAAATGAGAAGGTTGGTTCAATACAGTCTGTTCCCGTCTTCATTTCATTTGAACATAAGCTGGACTAAGTTTAGTAAATTCTTTTTACTAATTACTCTACCAATATAAGGCTCAAGAGCATCTCAAAGTAGAGCGTTACTGAAAGCGTTTCTTGTATGAACGTGAGTGGAAGAGGCAAGGTGCTGATTGTGAGTATATGTGGATAGATAACGATTGACTCTAGACTTCTTGATAATAGGATATAAGTGGAATGGAGATGATTCGTTCCAGTGCATGTGGTATAACAGGTATTAGCTGTGAAGGTCGGAACTGGTGGACCCAATGAATGTACACCGTCAAAACACTGGCCATGGAAAATGCGATAGATTAGCGTGAAACTTGCGATATTTCATCTGTAGGAAAGCGGTTGTTATCTAACGTTTAATATTTTTTTCGATAAGGTGTTTTAAATATGTATATTAAAAACATCTCCATATTAATTCCGAATTAATTACTTAATTCGGGCACATTTGGACGACCTTCACCTGAATCACCACTTAACGAATAGCTGCAATAAATCGAGTGTGCAGAGTATTTAAATATTCATTGCTTGTGCGCATTTATTTCAAAAGGAAGAACCGATGAAAAGTAATCCCCAAGCATCGTATGCAAACGCGCTAATACATTTAAAAACGAGGTCACCTTTTTTGTTTACACCGCCAAAGAAACGTCAAAGAATTAGCCTTTACGATATAAGCTATGGAATCACCTCTAAATTAAGCAGTAGAAATAAATTCATGGGAAAAAAAAGAATCTTAAAAGCGATCGTTTAATTTGTTTGAAAGGTTCTTAGATAATGCTTGTGTATTTATCTTCCCTTGCATTATATATCCGCCACAAATTATGGGATTATTTACGCATAGATCGTGCTGATTCTGTCAAGAATCGGAGTATCTGTGCGCTCTGTCTAATAAAAAAAAAAAGGGTCACTTCCTGCCATTTCAGACCTACGATCAGTGTAGTGTCTGAGCGTCCCAGCTAAGAACCAAATGTCGCTGATTGCCACTTTGATCGTATTTTATTCTAATTAGTATCTCTGCGCTCTGTTTAGGAGCAAAATGTCGCTTCCTGCATCTTATACTATCGATCAGTGTAGTATCTGTGCATCATATCTAGGGAAAAAGTGTCGTTTTCTGTCACTTGTTGCTGGGATGAGTGCACAGTATCTGTGCTCTCTCTAAGAACAAAATTTCGCTTCCTGGACTTACGATCAGTGTTGTATCTGTGCGATTGAGTCTGAAGAGAAAATAACGCTTCTATCTATGGTCAGTGTAATATGTGTGCGCTCTGTGAATAAAATATCGCTTCCTGTCATTTCTACATACGACCAGTGTAGTATCTGTGCGCTCTGTCTAAAAGCAAAGTGTCTGTTGCAACTGATACCATAGATCTGTGCATCATATTTAGGAAAACAATGTCGCTTCCTACCACTTGCAGTTACGATGAGAGTAGTATCTGTGCTGTCTCTAAGGTCAAAGTGTCGCTTCCTGTCACTTCTACCTACGATCAGTGTAGTATCTGTGCGCTCTGTCTAAGAGCAAAATGTTGCTTCCTACCATTTCTCGCCGATTGTATTATCTGTTCCAGAATGTCGCCTCATGACACCTTTAACTAGGATCAGGACAGTATCTGTGCGCTCTGTCTAGGAAGCACGTACCGCTCCCTGCCACTTATATTTACGATCAACAAAGGATCTGGGCATCTTATCTAGGAATATCTTCCTGCCGCTTCTACTTATGATCAGTGTAGTACACGTGTATCCTATCTAGTGCTTCCCACACTTCTCCATATGATCAGTGTAGTAACTGCGCATTCATTTAAAATTCATACGCACGTTGGCATACACACACCCTCTCAACTGACTATTTATTCAGTTGTACACATAAGAAAAGCAAGGGAGAAGAGAAAGCGGGGTTTTGTTGTGAAAAAGAAAACATAGGAGTTAAGAGAGTTAGAGAAAATAAGATTGATTGGTCCTTTTTAAGGCTTATCAACTCTTTGTGAGTTATTTAAAACTGAAATATATCTTGGGGATTTTAATAATAATATTTTTTTTGCAATTGTATATTGCATTAACAATTTCTTTGAGTATAATAATAGCTTTTCCTGATACAATTCCTACAATTTAACCCAAAGCTGGAGGATAGATATAGATTCATACCTTTCCCACGGTTATTTGGGCGTAAGTTAACTTTAACGAAGCCTCTGGAGAGAACTTTAAAAAAAAATAGGTGATTATATATATATATATATATATATATATATATATATATATATAACCATAGGACTGTGCCCCCTGGAGCCACGACTACTCTCACCAAGCCGCTCATTCTAGAGTATTAGAATCCGGTTCAAGCAATGACGTACATGATAGAAATTATTAGGAGTAGTCGTGGCTCCAGGAGGGCACAATCCTATGGTTACAGAGAACTCAGTAAGTGTTCCACTACGGAATATGTGAGCGAGCGGCGCTATAATGGGTCTGATTTGAAATCTCTTCGTCACCTAAGCCCGGTGGCACAGTTGGTATGATGTTTGATTAACAACCTGACTGTTAGGGTTTCAATTCTCGGTAGTGGATGTGCACTGCTGATGAGTCCCAAATATAGGACGAAACGTCCGTCCAGTGCTTTCTGCATTCTGTTGAGGTTTCTTTCAGACTCGATATATTGGAGAAAATGTATGATAAAGTGTTTTCTTGTGACGAGTTTCGTCCTTTAGGATTTCATCGGACTAAAATCGTCACAAGTAAACTTTTTCCACGTTGTCATACATTTTTCCCTAATATTTTTCTTGATATATAAAAATATATATCGTTATCTCATATAAAAAAAAACAACCGATTTCGTCCCAGGACTTATCAAGTTAATTTTTCTGAAAATAAAAAATATAAAAGCGTGTAAATTAAATTAACGAATCGAATGGAATGGAAAACAAACAAAAAAAAAATATGAATTTCAAGAAACTAGAGTCCAATAATATTCAGACCCAGTAAGTATTCCCTCTGTTTACAAAGGGAAGACCCACAGGATCCGATATACAAGGACTCTAGAACCTTGAGGTGAAATGTGGAGTAGGACCTAAATAAAATCAAAACACGGTCCGCACTAAAATTAACAACACATTACCTGCTATTTATTACATGCTCAGCAATAGCAGAACCAGAACTATTGATTAGTTGGCTCTTCCTGGCATCCAGATTCAAAATCCTGGGGGTGGGGGGTAAATGTTGTTTTATTCTCGAATCCAAACGCTGGGACGTCCTCCCTATGTAGTCGAGTCAACAACTACACTTATTTTGATAAATCACTGAATTAACATGATGGGGGCGGAGGACGTCCTTAGGAATGGAAGAGAAAACAGGACGGGTAACAAATATTACCCTAACATTCGCCGAAAAATAACAGTTATTGATCAAACATGAAATTCGTCTAGATAAAATCTCGCCTTCTGTACCAATATAGGGAAGACGCAGATAAACTGGACATTTGTCAAGAAAATGCGGCTTAACCCTATGAAATTTACAAATGACATCATGGATAACGAAGTCTAAAACATCCAAAGGATATCCGTTTTTTGAAAGTGTCATCCTAACAAACTCAATTCCACCGCATCAGTACATATCTTAAGTGCCCTATGAATTAATGCCTTAATCAAATTAACCTTTCGTTGCCTGGGACAAAAAAGAGTCCCAACGCATATAAAATCCCAAGAAAGTAGCCTTCCTAAATACAGAAGTCTCAAACTTGTCAATGATCTTATGAACAAGAACATCCAAAAAGGAAAGACAAGAATTGAACGCCTTTTTTACGGTAAACTTAAGAGCAGGATGGACAGAGTTTAATTTGGTGAGAAATTTGTCGGCTTCAGCCTCATTATTAAAGAGGCAGAAGGTATCATCCACATAACGATGATACATAAGAGGGCGACCAATACAAGTAAATAAGGAAGCCTCATGAAAACCGACAAAAATATTCGCCAACGCTGGACCCAAAGGCGAACCCATAGCTACTCCGTCGATCTGCCGATACATAATATTATTAAAACTAAATTCGACAAACACAGTGGTGAACATCATAAGCTCCACGAATACACCCTCAGGAAATCCGGAGGAGACAAACAGGTATGATACAACATATCGCAACACATCTCAATAGTCTCAGACATGGGAACACGGGTAAACAAGGAGCAGATATTAAACTAACACATGAACCCACCATATGTAGAAGAACTACAACAAAGGAGAAGGATATTTTAATGCAATATGTACTAAAATGCGATGAAACTGGTTGTAGCACTTTCGAGAGCCAACTAGCAACTTTATGCTGGGAAGACCTAATCATGGAAAGAATGGGTCGTAAGGGAACACCGTCCTTATGGATTTTAGGTAACCCATAAAAACGTGGACGAATGGACCCAGTGGGTCTAATTAACTCTGAAATTTCAAAGGAGAGTAAACCACTCTTGACCCACTTTAACAGTTGCCTTTGAAATTTAGATTTAATAGAGGCAGTACAATGATGGGTAAGGTCGTAGGTAAGTATTATGGAACTTCTATTTATTGATAATATTAATCGTATATTCATCTAACAAGCACTCTTGTTACCAAAATACTACTGACCTTGTCTTGCATGAAATTACGTCACTTTGCATATATCATTAGGCGTTTTATACTGGATGGCCCAAAATTCGCGCACTTATTGGTGAAGAACGTGCATTTTTGAAGCAACAGAGGGAAGGCATTGCATGTCATCATTATCTAGAATTAGCCCAATAAATTTTCAAAATAATATACAGGGTTATTCAAAAAGAGTGAGCAGTTTTGTCTATGTAATAGATAACCGTTTGTTTGCAAGTATGCTTGTCTGTTTGGATGGATAACCAATCCCTGTTGCAGACGCTGGCTCAAGCACATTTGTGTTTGTTCAATACCCACAGATGTATTTATTCTCTCATGGCCGCGTTTAATGCACTAATGTGAGGATAATGAAGTGATCACAAATCGTCACTGTTACCTCAATCTGGGGCTGGTATCATGGCGATGGGTCGGCCTTGGCGTCCTCTACTCTGGAAATCTTTGGTTTTGATATTTTTTAATGTTAGTTTTATAATCCTAATCTTCTGTGTTAATGAGCATTTGGTTTTTGTAGAAAATATTTATGTAATTTTTGACTGTATGTTCACTATCACAAAGAAGAAGAAGAAGAAGAAGAAGAAGAAGAAGAAGAAGAAGAGTTGCTTGTGAAAGAGGGTGTGACGGTTAAACAGTGCCAATATTTTTTTTTTTATTTAAGGATATAAATTTCTTTGCCTTTTTCCTACATTATTGTTTCTCGATATGACTGATTTTAATTTTACGTTTGTTCATTCCTTTTTCAAACTCTATTTCTCTTCCTATACTAGATGCGTACGAATAATAATTATAGTTAAAAACGGAACACAACAACCCGGGCATATTAATGGAGAATAAACTAGAAGAGAAGAGAAAATATTCAACTATAACCCATTGAAGATTTTACTCGCAAAGTGTTGGAAGTTGAAGAAGATCACAATCATACCAATTGGCATTACTGCAGTTGATACGATGACTAACAGAATGGATAAAGAAAATTGGGAACCTCTTTGGAAAGGAAAGAAGAATCTGAAAAGTGATGAACACTTAGAATCAGAGGAAAATTGCATGATATCCAAGGCTGTTGTTTGGAGTTCGCTGTCCTTGCTTTAATTCCTAGATGTTAAGATCTTGTCTGAAAAAATTCTGAAATAGAAAAATAAACAAATTATGATGATGATAATGATGTCGTCAAAAATAATAGACGTAATAATAAACACATCAAAAATAAATCAATATCTCTTTTTATTGAATTGGTTCACATCATTAATGGGGAGCATTTATTTGATGGGCATTAATATTTGATTTGATTTATTTGTTTTTACGGCTTATCAACCCTTTTGCAGGTCATTTAAATCCAGAAAATATTTTTAGATTGTAAGAATTTTTTTTTTCATTTAATAATGATTTAGTGATACAATCATTACTAATTAATCTGGGAGAAGAAGAGGTGGATTCATACTTTTCCCAAGGCTATATGGGCATAAGTAAATATATACGACCCAACTGGAATTAGAAATTGGCTCTCCGATTAACAATTCCGAGCCATTATCCATTACACCACCCGCACATCCAAGCTTAAAGCACCTGGTATTCCTTATATTTCATTGGAAATTTGAATTTGATTGTGCATTTTAATTGTACGTCACCACGCTCATCAAGGTTCAGTTTCTCACTAATTACATATTTTACTATGCAAGTAATAGGATTCATCTACTGCTCGAAGGTTGGGGTGTTCAGTGTAACAGCATCGACATTAGTTACTGAGTCAATGAGGTTTTTACTTTTGAACAAGGATTTAACTTCAAGATCAACAAACATACACACACACACATCAATGACGTCATTTTTTTAAGTGAGATTCGGTGTCTACATTTTCCATTTCTAAATTTCAAAAAGAAAATCCTCTCCATTAATCATCTGAGAGAGTTTTTTCTGCCTTCCATCAGTATAGCTGATGCTAACCTCCAGAAGAGAGACTTGTCGTGCCTTCTCGACTGACATGAAGTAGAAAAACTATATTAAATCCATTGCTAGCTCAGCTGCTAAGAAAGTTGATTCACTGTATCTTGCTAGACAATTTTTCTCTCCAGAATCGATCTCACATATCTGTAAGTCCATGCTTATAATATTGCTGCCAGATATTGTCCGGTGCTTCTGCTATATATTTAAAGATTCTTGATCAAATACAAAGACGAATACGCAAAATTATTGCTCCTGACCTGGCAATTCAGCTTCATTCACTCTCCCACCTTCGTAAAACTGCCCCCCTCTGCCTTTTCTATAAATATTTTCATGGTAATTGTTCAAATGACAACGATGTCTCATCAATTTACAGTTGAGTTAATTCCATGTAACCGTAATTTCTATGGCAACAGTTTCTTTTCCGGCACTTCTTCCTTGTGGAATTCCGGCCCCAAACTTTCCAGTCAACTTTAATCTGCAAAAATTTAAATGCAATGTCAATCTCTATATAATGTCCTCCTAATTATTCTTTTCGCTTTTCGCTCATTATTATTGTTTCTGTCCTTAATTCTTCCACAGCCTGTAACCCCTTATGTCTTAGTGGCTTTACTGCCTTGAAGTATTTTTTATCGACCTCAGGACTTTAGAGAGTGAGTTACAAAGAGAGAAAGAGAGTTGTAGAGAGAGAGAGATACAAAGAGAAAATTACAGTGAGAGAGGGAGAGAGATTGTTCAGGTCTTTCATAGTGTAAATTTAGTAATGGCAATGGTAATATTAGCCTGAAGAGGGTTGGGTTCTGTCAGATTATCTTGCCCAAAACGCACCACAAGTACTACAGCTGCAGTACTTGTGGTACCCCTACGTCTCTAATGAGTTACGGGGCTGGTGATTGAATTGTAATATTAGTTGATACCTTATAGGAAAACAATCGGTACACATTGAATGCTACTTTCTATAAAAACAATTTTCAGGAAAATAGGTTTCTGATGTGGACCCAAAGTTGGGAGCACAGAAGGAAAACACGGAACACGGATTAGAGGTAAGAAAGATATATTAAACAAAAAGGTTACTAAGATAGTGTAAGTGTAGGCGGAGCTTACTATGTGCTAGTGTCCAATATTGGTAGTCGTACGCGGCTGATACTACGGTATTAGAATACTTTCTTTCTCTCTCTCTCTCTCTCTCTCTCTCTCTCTCTCTCTCTCTCTCCTCCTCTTCTCCTAGAGTATTATATCGCATACTTTATATAGTCCTGGAAGAGTCCATGTTGTAGGTATGTTACGGTCTCACAACACCCCCCTTCCAAGAGTTTTCTTCTTTTTTTTTTTTTTTTTTTTGAAAAGGAGAGAAAAAAACGTAAAACTGTTAATACTTTTTTCTCTTGGGAATTACGTCGAGCGGTTGAGTAAATTTCCTTTTCCTTCCTTAGCGTCGCACTTCAGGAGAGACTTGGGGCGTGTCGAGATAGAAATGATCGAAAATTACGTCGATCGGCTCTTCACAGCTATTTTGTAGTGATTCCTCCGATTCCTTCAAACGGCATTTTCTGAGTTGGTTCCAATGGTGTTTGTGAGTGTTTTTCGGTCCTTGGACAATATAGACCAGTTCGTCAATTCTTTGTTTTATGGTGCCTACTTCCCAGAATGTTATGTTGTTTTTGTAAGCCTTGAAAAAGACTTTATCGCCAGGATTGAAATATTTCTTATGAGGCGATACGGTTTTTTTGAACTTTGATTTTCCTTGCGAACATGGTTTCTGCAGGCGAGCTTCCCGTAAGCGTGTTCGGATTAGGGGTTATCCGATACACATGCAGAAACTGTTGCAATGCTCTATCTGTCGGTGTGCCTAGTGCCTTTTTTAAAGCCCTTTTTAGAATGTCCACAAACCTTTCGGCCTGGCCATTCGACCTAGGGTGATACTGAGGGGTTGTAATGTGGTCTACTTGATATGACTTGCAGAAGTCTCTAAATTCACTTGATGTGAATTGAGTGCCATTATCTGTAACTACACAATCTACCCCGCCAAAACGCGCGAATAGCTCGTGTAGAAATCCGATCGTGCAGTTTGTGGTTGGTCTTTTGCATTGTAGGACCTCAGGCCATTTTGAGTGGCTATCCACAACAATGAGGTAGTACATGTTGTCTATAGACCCTGCAAAATCGACATGAATTCTTTGCCATGGATGGTCTGTGTTTGGCCATGGTTTGCACGTCGTGGTTGGAGCTTTTGCTGCAAGCGCGCATCCTTTGCATGATTCTATCATGTCTGCTATGTCCTTGTCCATGTTTGGCCAATAAACATAGCAGCGCATGAGGCTTTTCATACGGTTCTTCCCCGGATGTCCCATGTGAAAATTCCTGAGGATTTTTCTTTGTAGGCTGTTTGGAATCACTACGCGGTCATTGTATAGTAGGACATCATCGCAGAGGGAGAAAACTTCAGGCACATTGGGGTCTTTATTGCGAATTTTGCTTTTTATGGATTGAATGAATTCATCCTCTCGAGACTCCCTTTTTATGTCGGCCAAAGTAACTGGGAGCTCTCTTATGGTACTCGTGATCATGTTTTTGATTTCACAATTTGTCCTTAGAGTAGCAATGATGGAGTCTTCAAAGACTTCTGTATTTTTGGAATGAGTCTATCTAACTCTTTGTTGATTTGCTCTAGAGCAGCGAAAGGGACATTCCGTTTCTTTTTGAATACCGGTTGTGCACCGTCCTTCACCTTGAACTTAGCTTTCATTTTAGTACATTTCCCAAGGTCGCCAGAAAAAACCTGGGGAAATTGTTGTTTGAGTTCCTTTTTTAGATTTACCAAATTGGACGTTGTACTTTGTATCTTGCGACAAAATGTACTCATTAAGCAATCCCAAAGATTGAATTTTTCTATCCAATCTGTTTCAAATAAGTTATCTGAAGTTTTCAATACGTAGCCTTTGAGATTTTTTAGTAACTCCATTTAGTGTTACTGTAAGTATTACCTCGCCTAAAATGTTAATCTTTTTCGCCAGTTACGGATTTTGCTGTTTTCTCCGTTTTTAATAAGGTCAGCTTGTTTAATTTTCGCCAAGTACGCCAGTTAATGGTTGAAAGATCGGAACCCGAGACAAGCTGGAATTTAATGGAATTATTGAAAATATCCACAGTTACATATTTCCTTAAATTCCTATCGACAATATTGTCAGATTGAGCTTGCCTAATTTTATTTTTGGGTTTTCTCGTTCTGTTTGCGTACCAGCACCGAGTTAAAGTATGCCCATTTTTATTGCAATTTTTGCAATATTTTTTGTTCTTAACTGGACAGAATTTCACCCAATACCATTTACCACAATGGTAACATGGTCCGGGCGGTTTCTTTAACCTATTTGAGTTTTGGTTACTGCGTAATTTAGGACATGAGATTTGCCTTTTGTCTTTTTGAGGGGAATAGGAGGTAGACTTGCTTCTGATTTTATTAATCTGAGCCACACCTGATTCCTCGATACTTATGTATTTTTTTTTTATAGAGGTACAAAAAAAGAGAAAACTCGCCTCAGTGAATTTGAGGGGAGAATAATTTTATGCACGAGATTCAACTCAGTTACCTAAAAAAAATTTTTAGATAGTTTTTTTCGAAAACTAGAGTCGTAAATAGTACTTCGGCTCTTGTGTTGTCAGTTTGTTTAATGAACAAACTGGTTTTTTTCTGTGTGTGGATGTGTAAGAAATCGTTCTCGTTATGTTATTTGGAAAGAATTTAATATTCCGTAGATGTCGAATCGCTAGTTCGTCACTGATGTTTGGTATCAGAATATATATTTTTTTTAATATGTAGACGCTGGGTGTTGAGTTTAAATCGCTGATGTAGTAATACCAGCTTAATTTCTCGTTTAACACTGCTGTGGGAACGCGTGGAGTTTCTGTGTATTTTTTGAGTACTCTGTCGCTATTGATATGGTGAGAACGAAATTCTCGAATCTTTCTGTCGCCACTGTTGTGGGACTGGTAATGTATTGAGGATTTCGACGTGAATGCGTTTCTCGAATTCTTCGTCGCCACTTGATGTGGGACTGGTAAGGTATTGAGGTTTCGGCGTGAGTGCGTTTCTCGAATTCTCCGTCGCCACTGATGTGGACCGAAAGTTGGAAGCACGGAAGGAAAACACGGAACACGGATTAGAGGTAAGAAAGATATATTAAACAAAAAGGTTACAAAGATAGTGTAAGTGTAAGCGGAGCTTACTATGTGCTAGTGTCCAATATTGGTAGTCGTACGCGGCTGATACTACGGTATTAGAATACTTTCTCTCTCTCTCTCTCTCTCTTTCCTCCTCTTCTCCTAGAGTGTTATATCACATACTTTAAATAGTCCTGGAAGAGTCCATGTTGTAGGTATGTTACGGTCTCACAACAGTTTGTCAAGTTCATTAATTGTTATCACTCTTTTCAGTATTGATGGGGGTTTTCCTTCCTAACATTTTGCTCGATGTAATATGAAATGTCTTGATTATGTCATTATTTTCTCTTCTCAAGCCCAGTAGCTGTTATCACTCTTTCCAGTATTGATGGAGGTTTCCTACCTAACCTTTTCTTTGAAGTAGCGTGGAATGTCAACATCTTGATTATGTCATTATTTTCTCTTCTCAAGCCCAGTAGCTGTTATCTCTCTTTCCAGTATTGGTAGAGGTTTCCTTCCTAACCTTTTCTTTGAAGTAGTGTGGAATATCAACATCTTGATTATGTCTTTATTTCCTCTTCGAGTTACATGTGCTACACATTTAAATTACTGCTGCTGTTGAAAAACATCAAGTCATGTGATTTCTGTTATTTGGTACAGTTCTTTATGATTCTGTAGCGCCAGTTTTCGAAGTTGGATAAGAATTCATTCGTTTCAAGCCATTGATCTGAGAAAACGTTTGCATACCGCGAATACTTTAAATATTTCTGAATGAGTCTAATATCATGCATGACATCCACATGAAAATCTCGCTTCTGACGAGGCTTTTCAATATGACTCAAGTTTTTAGGTAAATATTTTGATTTTGCACCTACTTGCGGTGTTATGTGAAACTACATCGAGCGCAGCTTATTCTATGTTCGTTTTTTTTTCTATTTTCTATACTACATTTGTCACAACTGATTCATACACCAAAGTATTTAAAGTGTTTAGTATTTACTTATTCCACATCCTGAATTTTTATGACAGATCCACGGTACCTGCTATCAAGGATTTCATTCCAATTCCAGATCATATTCTCCATTTTTGAAAGGTTTATTTCTTAAAAACACTTAGTTGGAGAGGTTGACTTCTTTAGTTCAAGATCATTTTTATCCCATCTATGAATACCTATGTCATCATCATCAGTACACTAGCCTCGGAAGATAAAACAGGAACGCTGTTTTCTATTAGTAGATTTATTTGGGATGCGTTATGAAAAGCTTAAAGGATAAATGCCAAACTCTTCACATCTGTGCTTGTGTATGGATTTGTTTTGCTTATGCAAGGTATCGAAACACACTATATAAAATTCCCCATTGTTTATCTATAATGTTGAATGTGTTAAAAAATAAATTTTTTGTTAATATATAGATTTGTGTAGGGTACATTGACGTGGTGTAATGGTTAACAATCTTTTCTTGCTAAATCAGTTACGACTTAATAAATAACACAGATCAAAAATTCGAATCTACAGCTTTTTTTTTTCTTAGAGTTCTGTCAATGTGACAGCACCTTACCGATTAGGACACGACGCATCCCAACCGTAGTCATTTAAATATAACTCTTATATCTTCTGCGTCAGCGTGATCAACCACCATTATCCATTTTATTATACATCCACAAACTTCCTTTTTTAAATTTTTTTCTGAAAAAAAAAAGAAATATCGGAAGAAGCTCTTCTAAGGAGTCCGTCAGTTTCGTGATCTTTTGTTATAAACCAACCACACATAACTTTCCCCCAAAAAGCAAAACTCCGTGGGATGGGATTATAGTCCCCCTTTGATGGGTGTGACACGAGCCTTTAACAGACCGTGACGCTTTCAAGACAAAGATGACCAGAAGGGGAAATATGTCACCGCCCACGAAGCTTCACTTAGGCTATATTTATTTGTCTGCTTGTGACATGGTTCATTTAATAGCAAATAATGAACGATTTTATTCATTTCCGGTTTCTCTCTCTCTCTCTCTCTCTCTCTCTCTATATATATATATATATATATATATATATATATATATATATATATGTTTG